GTATTTAGCTAGCAATAGACAACTTTGTTCCTAAAACAGAATTGTGTTTTACAGGTTTCTTCAGTTAAAGCTGGAGCAGCACAAAGAAAAAATATGCACAAGGAAGGTACCATCACTCTAAGAAATACACCAGTTTCAAAGGTTAAAGTGGCAACCTCCATATTTAATTCCAAGAGAGGAAGTGAAAGTAAAAATGTTTGCGCAATTAAACGATCACCTCCTCAAAGACCTGTTCTGCTCTCAGGCTCAGGTAAGAGTTTCTATTAGGGTACTACATAATTTTCAAGAATTGGTATGAGGCAATATGCTTAATGCACTTTAAGTAAATAGGAAAGTAATAATACAAAATTCTGTTTTAAAAGCACTAAATCATAGCATGTGAGAAACCTAGCATATTTGAAACCCATCAGGAGTCCTGTAATCCATTAAAATGAGATGCTTGCACAAATACTACTTGTGTTTTATGTTCAGCGGCTTTTTCTGGAAGCTTTCTCTTCAGTTTCTCATTATCGTGAGAACAGACCCAAGGAAGTCAGTGTTATGTGTTTTGTACTTTTCTTCCAGTGTGCATGTCAATCCAGTTTCCAACTTCTAATGCTCCATTTTCATAGATCACAGAAAATCTGCAATGGCAGCACTTCAGGTAGTGATCTATAGGGCTGTTCGAAGCTTTGGTCCCTGATTTCGTTCAGCAGAGGTCTGGCTCAATTTGGTGGCCAAATCTCTGAATCTGAATTAAATCAGAGGACTCTTTCTTTAATCTCTCCAAACTGAATTGGAGATTTGGACATAAAGCTTTAAATGCTTTTTTTACATGCCTCTAGGTGGCAGGTGGCGCGTGAACACTGCAATGCGGGGGTGCATGGAGTGTCCCACAGAAGAGTGGGGGCTCCCCAGCATGCTTGGCAGTGGACCCAGAAGTGGACCAGAAGCACTTCCAGGTCCACTGGAGAGTTGCTGCCCCCCCCACCCCCACAGCTCAGTGACTGGTGCCTCCTGGGTCTGGGGGGGGGGGG